AAATTGTGGCAAATCCAGCAAATGTTTTTAACATTTTTCATGTTTGCTTGGAAATTCAATTTGAAAGGACTTTTTTGCGGCTGACTCTTCATCAGCTTCAAAACAGTGGAGGAAGTATGAGGAACCCTAATCAACATTTTCTTCTGACTTGATATTATTGCGTTTACAAATCTCATACGAACATAAATAGAATGTATACGAACATAAATAGAATGAATATTCTCATAGTATCCGAAAGTAACATTCAACAATTTTTTTGGATTAGATAACCATGCCAACAATGGTCTTAAATTGGAAGACAGGGTAAAGGAATAGATCCCGTTTTAACAATATAATCTAAATTTCTATTATTAGAAACACTTGGCAAAGTTGATGAATCAAAAGAGTCGAGAAAGGGAAAAATTCTTATCTGACGATTAACCACAAAATAGTTAATCGTCGACACAGAAGCTAATATGAAGAGTTCAATATCTAATCTTGCCAAAATCATTTGACAAAATTAGTGAATCAAGTGAATTAAGAAAAGTGACTAAAAATAACAAAAAAATTGCTTGAGAAAACACACATTCCCACCATAGAATAGTTGATAATCAAAAAAGAGACTTTAATTAAAATTTATATATATCATACTATACAACCCATTTGACAAAGTTAATGTAGGTTTTTGGTTGAAGAAGAGGAAGATCCACAATAGAACTTAAAGATCTAATATCTACACAATTTTGACAACCTCTTCTGTTTATATTTGAATTTTACTACTAACTTTAAATTTTGATAATAAAATCTTCATCTGAGATATTTGTTACCTTTTAAACAGTTGAAGATTTTTAGTACTCACATGGAGCATTTGAAAACAACTTAAATAATACTATTACTTTCTAGATATTCCAATTATAAAGATACCTGTCCCCAACTCTCCTGCACAGTCCTGCTTACGCTGCTACGAAGTGCATAAACTAAATAATACTGCCGATATAGCATATGGAAGAGTGGCTTAAATCTAGGTGAAAGAACGGCCAGTCCACATTTTGATAATCCACATTTGCACGTAATTGTTAGTTAGCGCTTAAGTTAAATTATTTTAAAATTATATAATAAAGTATTCTAGTCATATGTCTGTAAGGATTCTGTATTCTGAATGAAATATAGATTCAATACGAACCATCAAAACAGTAGATTGATCCGAAAAGATCGTGAGATAGTAAAGAGTGCTTCCCATAAAGACTTATATACAGACTAGCTGAACTTTTTCAAAAACATATTGTGAGAGAAAGGTACTCGATGAAAAAAGTGGTAGTATACAGCAGACTACAGGCAGAATATTTATGCGTGCATTGCTTTACTTCATGTCTCTTATTTTAAGATTCCCTTCTAATGCATTGTTTACATCAAGGTTTTAGATAGCACTTGTATAATATGGTATTATAGATCGATCTATATCATTTTGAAGAATTAATTTTTTTTTAACATTTTGTGAGATTTACTTGCTTAGTCTCTGACAGTTTTTTGGGCTATTCAAAAAAGAGTTTATCCAGATATTTAAGTCTTATTCGTTGCCAAGAATGAATAGATCAATGCTTGACAATTGTCCTCTTCCTCTTTATCTTGCTCTATTTTTAATGTCAGACTTTAAGATTTACTTAGTTTTAACATAAATTGTTTCATTTTCCCACCTCGCTCAAGTTTTTTTCTTTTAGAAAAGAAGAAGATACAAACGTTGTACAGATTTGTTATCCAAAGAATAACTTCTACACCATTTATCTGCCAGACAGTTACTATGTTAGTTACTATGTCTCCAAAATACACGTACGTTGTTATGTCTACTCATCTCATTTTTAAGATATAATACAAGAAAGAATGATATCAGATTTATGATATGTGGTGGATGATATGTTATTAGTGGAAGGAGACCTTGTTTTTGTGAAAGAAAAAATTGATTGAGAAAAAATTGATTCAACATCAATACAGAGACTGATTTGAAGAGTTTTTAATCATATTGTTCAAAGCACTAGATAAAGTTTGTGAATCAAATAAATCAAGAAAGAAGACTATGCTGAGACAAGAATTGGTTAAAGAGTGACGATATAGCACCACATACATTGTTCAAACTACTTGACAAAGTTGCTGACTAAATAAAATTAAAAGAATATTATATTGAGAAAGAAATAGTTTAAAGGAAAAAGATCCACCATCATATATCATATTGTTCAAAACACATTATATAGTTAGTGTGTCAAGGTGAATGAAAGAGGATACAGTGTTGAGAAAAAAATGGTTGCTAGGGAAAATGGTTGCTTAATACCACAGAACAGTTTATCATCGAAACAGAGACGGTTTTGGAAAATTAAACATATCATATTATTCGAACTACTTGATGAAACTGGTCACATTGGTGATTCGCGGTATTAAGCATTTTCCCTTGCAACTAATTTTTCTCAACATTGTAGCCTCTTTCATCACCCTTAATGCACTAACTACATCATATTGTTGAAAACACATGATGTAGTTAGTGCATTAAGAATGACGAAAGAGAATACAGTGTTGAGAAAAAATGGTTGCTAGGGAAAATGGTTGCTTAATACCACAGAATAATTTATCATCGAAACAGAGACGGTTTTGGGGGTTAAACATATCATATTATTCAAACTACTTGATGAAATGTGACTGAATTGGATTAAGAAATAAAATTATATTGAGAAAGAGACAGTTTAAAAACAAAATTATCTGCCACCATATATTATGACATAGTGCATTGGTTGATAGAGAAAAGACTTAACACCACAGAAAAGCTGTTCATCGGCACAGAGGCTGTTTTGAAGAATTGAACATCTATTCTTACTCGAACCACTCGACAAAGTTGGTGATTAAATTAAATCGAGAAAGAAAACTATGTTAAGAAGTGTGAAAAGTGACTGAAAATATAACTGTCATATTTATAATTATTTTTATTTACTTTTTTCTTAATTTGTCACACTGTGCTTTGCTACTAAGCCTTAACTTTATTTACATTTCTCAACCGTCATTTTAAATCTAATTTAATAGAAAACGTACATGTTCGTTTGGCTTTTTTATAAATCCAAACTTGCGACGGACGAGTGCACTTAACGAACTTTAACACCAGCCAACAAAAACACAACTACACAACTACAACAACAACAGCAACAACAGCGATGAAGAGCAACAACAACAAAAACGCTTTGAACATACCAATGCGTTTTAACAATTTTGCAAATCGCAAGAGATTTTCCGCTTTCAAACGATTTCGTTTTCTGGAAGAACGTTTTTATGCCGCATGCCACCTCTTCTCTTCGCTCTTCACTCTTCGCCCGCGTTTTTATTTCGTTTTCTTCGCTGCATTTTTTAGAGTTATTTTTCTGAAATAAGATTTTTTGCTTATGTTCCTATGGTTGTTCATCTTTATTTTTTTGTGTCCTTTTTGCTAATTTTTTCATTTGGCAACATTTTTGTTTTCGATGCAAAGGTGCGCACTTAATTTAATTAGTGTGCAATTGCTGTGAGGAGAGAGAAAATGTTGTGCTCGCTCGGAAGGATGCGCAGAGGTCGGCACTGACAAATGGTAAATGGTAAATGGCAACTGAATTGCTGCAGTGAAAATAAAAGGATAACAGCATTTTACGAATTTGTTACTGTGCTGTGTGTACTGTGTACTGTGTACTGTGTGCTGTACACAGTTAAGGAAACATCCTTTTTCTATTACACTAAGTTGTTGCAGTTTATTTCATTTTGAATTTGAAAACATCTTCAAATAAGCAACAGTCAAAGAAATCAGAGGTTCAGAGGTTCGTATAGGGAAACTTAAGGAAATTGCAAGGAAAATATTTTAGTAAAATGAATGAAAATGCAACGTGAAAGGCACAGGAAAGTAATGATTTACAAATTAATTTGATTTGTTTAAGTTGCGCAATGAAAGCTTTATTTTCTATTTATTTTAATTGACTATCTACAGACGCCTCTAATGATTAATGAAAATTTTCTTTTTTTAATGTATATATAATATTCATGTTGACATTTAATTTAATGGAAAATTCTTTTTGACCTCCATAAGAAAGAGAAAAATGATTAATGTCATCACACTAAAAAACTGTCGCTCAAAAGAACCTTTTAACTGCACTGTGTGAAAGATTGAAGCCACATGTCAACTCACTGACTGAGCATTCGACCTGATTGCCACATCATAGAATAGATATTCACCCTAATTTAAAGTCAGCACCCACCAACTTTTAATCAATTATAAAACTGTTTTCGATTACCCATAAGCTCGATCTGAGCTCGGTATCCCTACAAAATTAGTTATTACAATGTTGAGCTGCAGCTCCATCAACTTAGGATCAAATCTCTCCGAACCTTCCACAAACATCTTTAAGTAAATTATAAAGCTGCTTTAGATAACCCCTTATGAGGTTCGCATTTATACCGCCATGTCTGAGTTCGGTATCCCTATAAAGTTAATTCGACTCTGCACAAATGACTTGAAGTGGCAGGTGATTTAAACGCTCAAGATAAGATCGATTCTATCCACACCTTCCACAATCATCCCTTTGTCGATTATAAAGCAGCTTTAGATAACCTTATAAAGATTCGCATTTATACCACAATGTCAGAGCTCGGCAACCCTGCAAAGATAAAACGAATTTTCAAAATGATATTGAGCTTAACCTCCATCAAAGTGGGATCACATCTCTCCGAACCTTCCACAACCGTTATTTTGTTGATTATAGAGCAGATTTGAATAGCATCATAAGGGACTGCATTTGCACCGCAATGTGTGCCAGACCTTCCACTCCTTATTTTTTTTTGTGCCAATTGTGAAGTAGCAGTCGATAGTCTATTACACATCGCAATATATAGGCTCGATATTGTGACGTTCAGCCAAATAGGTTCAATAAAGTAAAGTTTTGATACCGTGTGATGCTTCAGATAAAGTGCTGCTAAGAAAAGAAATCTGTATGCTACTGATACAAATACGCATGGCACAGACTTCGAGCTGGCAGCTAGCTATTATATTTTCAAATTTGTCAAGAATTTCGACTATTTTAACACCACTGTAATGAAAAACAATGACGTCAGCCTAAACATCAAACGAAGAATTAGAGTCGCCAGTAGGTGCTACTATAGGCTTGGTAGGCAATTAGGATGTAAAGCTCTCTCTCTCTCGACAAACAAAACTTACACCCTCTAGGTTATTTATTCTACATGGCGTTGGTGTTATCACAAAATGATGAAACAGCATTAGGAGTTTTCAAAAGAAAAGTTATTTCGCTATATCTTTGATCCTATACGTATTGGCAACGACTAACATATCGGAAAGAATTACAAGTTATACGAACTAATTTACGACACTGATATAATCCAGCGAATTCACAACTAGCGATTTCGCTGTCGTGAGAACGGATGAAGATGCTCAAATTTAAAGCAGTAGTTATAGGAAGAAGACATAACATTCGACCGTGTCTCTGGTGGAACGATCAATTTGACGAAGTACTAACCGCGCTTGACATGTAGAATGCCCGCAGACAGCAGGTGTGCCTGGGGAGACATGCTGTTACGGGTCAACACAAAGCAACAGATTGATATGGTTATTAAGTAAGTAAGTAAATAAATTAATTATGATAAAAGTTCAATTCAAGCCAATTTAATTAGTGAATTATTAGATTTGTAAACAGTACATATAATAAATATTAATATATTAGTTTATTTTTATTTAAAAAATTCCTAGGAATCCTATTGTTTCTTAATAATAAGATTTAAATTTGTATAATAAATACCCAAAAACAGGAAAATATAAAATTTAAAACCTATTTAGCACATAAGACTTTTGAAATACCAAAGGAATTCAAGCAAAAATGGATCCCTTTCTACTTAAGTTAATATAGGTTGAAATTAAATATATACCTATATTTATATATTTCTTGTATACCTATATTTATACCTATATTCTTGTACTTAAGTATTAATACTAGAAAAAATTTAATAATTACGTATAAAGTAAGCCAGATAACATTACACTGAGCTATTTAAAGTAAAAGTAAAAGATATTTTCCCATATCATATATATATTCATATATACCTGATATGTAATACCTGAAATAAATTAGGCACTTAATTCGCCCATATCCCCTCCACAATTCATCACCACCTACTCTATAACACGTAATAATAACGATTATCCTGTGCAACACATCCACTTCAACGCATTCAACGTTAAGCTGCCCACTTGTGTGTTGATATCCTTTATACTTTTTTAACTAGAAAGTCTACTGATGCCAATATTGCTACTTTTTATCTTATTGACATGTTTTTGTTGTTGTTTTTTCTGTAAACATATATAATTTTTGTTGTTGTTGGAGCTAATGCACAAAGCATAATACAATCTAATTTTGTTATTTAAGTTTCATTTTATTAGTTAAAGATTTATATAAAAACCATAAAAGTCCTTAAGTCCTTACGGTGTATGGTGTATGGACGAATATTATATGTACTTGCTGCAAGTATTGCCTGCTCTGATGGGTCTGCATCTTCTTACTTTTTTACTGTCGTAACATTTTGTATTCTCTAAGCTTATTTCAAATATTCTGACCATCTCAACAAATGTTATTGTACTTGATTTAGTCATGAGTTTGTATATATTTTTGATAACAGAAAAAAAAAGATATTTATTTTTACCTCAAATTATTTCCATTTTACTTTTGAAGTCAAAGCAGACGTACGAGTTTGTCCTTTTTATGACAATATTACACAGAAGAAAACAGATTACTTAACCAAGATAATGAATGAAATTTGCAATATTTTTGTTTTATTGAAGCTTTGTTTTGTTATCTACTCAATTATTTATGGTATAAAAATAAACTAAAATGAATTATATTTACTATTTATGATATCAAAATACATTTAAAATATTAATATTAATATATTAAAGCTTTAATATAAAATATTAAAGCTTTTATTAGAGACTTCTTAAAAGAGACGTAGCTCAATCCATAGCTCAGACACCACATTTTTGCCACTCATGAATAATATACAGTCCATACTTTGTTACATTAAATACGTATTATATATATTTACAAATAATTAAATATATAATTACTTAGCAATACTCAAACAAAAAGATAACTCTTGCTGAGGAAGACACTTGCAGACTATGTCTAGAAGAAAAGGAGACTGCACTGACAACTAGGAGGAAGACTGTCTTGAGACACCATTGGGTTGGTGATGACTTGGCAGGCAACCTCAAGCTAAATGAGCTGATTGCATTAACAAGGGATGTAGTTATGCGAACGGAAGCCACTCCAGCTTTAACTCAATAACGACATCCGAGAATAGAAGGACGAAAAAGGACCCAAGTAGTTTCGTGGTCTACTTCGGCGAATCCTTTACTTCAATGGGGCCACTTGTTGGACGGTACGCTGTCACAACGTAAGTACCAACATAAGTAGAAAAACTCGAAACAGCGTTGTATGGTCAACCAAATTTCAATAAATTAACTAAAAATTTTTGTTGTTGTCTCTTCACTTCTATTCGAACCCTTCTAACTTTTAAATAGTTTCTTTTCATCATAAGACGCGTCACTTACGACAAAAAAATAAAAAATAAACTTTAAAAAAATAGAATTTTAGGGAATACAAATACAAATATTGTTCAATTTGAAAGACCGATCTAAGAATAATCAAAGAGAATATAGGCTCAAGCAGTTATTGTGATCTGCTAGAATTGTTGATTATTTGGCTGTACCGATCAAGGTTAACGGTTTGTATCGACACTTCCGTAAACAAATCTAACACAATGCAATTCCGATGGCATTTGTAGACGCAATAATATTAAGACAGTCACTTTTGAGTTGTCACTACCATAGATACCACAACTTTGAGTGTTGTTTTAACCACGAGTCAAAAATGCTAAACCCTGAAGAAAATTTAACACGAAAAATCGTCACTATTGATTATTGCAACAAATTTTCACAATTTTAATAGAATTAACGATTGTTAAGCGATTCATATATAAAATAACAAATCTTTAACTAAATATTAAATTCATAATATAATAGTTCTGTTTCATACATGCTACTAAACCAGCGGTGCAAAATCAAGCCCACGACATAGATAAACCCTTTGTAATAGTTGACTTAAATCCATCTTAGATCAAACCCACGACATATATTGATATTCAGATGTCTGAGTTGGTGAATCAGCACCTTTACTCTATTTTATCTGTGGACAGTTTTAAGTCACACTAAATACGGGGCTTTACGGGGCTTTATAATATGATGGATCTGATGTCTTTGTATCTGCCTGTGTTTATCAAATTTCGCTGTATTTTTAGGATACTGAGTGTTGGATTATTGTGACTGTCAATTGTATTGAACAGTTTCAGAGCACGATCTTTAATGTATTTTTCAACTGAATCCACTCTCAGATCTCTGTGGATATCGGCTCCTCTTACATACCATGGGGCGACATAGAAACACCTTTATAATGTTGACTTAAATCCATCCTGATCACATCCTAGAAGTTTTGGGGAATTACGTGCAAATATGTTATTTTAGATTATTACAAATTTAAACATCTGACTACTACTGCTCATATTACTGGATGTATAGTAATACTGATTTCTGTACGATTTGAAATTTTTTTTTTGTGTTATTTTAAATCGACTTACCTCACTTTATTTTTTGTCATATCGTTTTATTTAATAAAAATATTTTGTTAATACTTTTGCTTATTTAAAGTACTGCTATTTGAAATTGCTGGTCTTTACTACATGTTTTGCTGGATTTTGGTGATGTTACATAGCACTTTTACTTTTGCTGATTTTATTATATGCTAACTATAATGAGATTTACTTTGTGATTTCTATAAATGAAATTAAATAAAGCACTTCATATGTAACATAACACTCGTATACAACAGTTTATGTATCTATTTGTAAATAAACCACTTTATATGTAGCGTAACACTCATAGACAACAGTTTATATATTTAATTATACATAACAATGGTTAACCTAATTACTTTAGTAAATGATGTACACGATTTATTTTTTAATACTCGTAGAAGGACTTGTGAATAGTAGTGAGTTACAAGCGATTTTGTCTTAATTCGAACTTTTTTTTACTTTTTTTTGGGACCTATTTATTTTTATTTTATTTCATTTTATAAAGCTTTATATAGTATAGAGGTATATATTCCACATGATCATTGTGTAATTATTTTAAACTTATATCATTATAAATACTTTTATGATATTTGCTTTATGCACGATTTCATTTCAGTATAATTTAGTACGTAACTATGAGTACTTTCGGGATTTTATAATTATCTCAAGCAATTTATTAAATAATTTACAACTTTTCATCAGTACTTGAGAGAGTTGGAAAACATAAACCTTCTCATAAACAAACTGTAATCAAATACGTAAACAAAAACAACAACATTAACAATAAAAATAAATAAACAAATGAACTTCATACTCTTCAAATGTAATTAAGAAGTAAAACGGACGCTAGTTATAAACTTTTCCAACTACTCGTAAATTACTTCCTTGTTAAATTTAGGCTGCTGAGCAACAGCCACAACAACAGCCACAGCAACGGTCATAGCAACACACGCTGGCCTCGCAACATTGATGCCAGCAACAAGCTGCAGAGCAGAGCTGTGGAGTGCAGTGCAGTAGAGTGCAGTGCAATAATCGCTTTAAATTGTTTATAAGTGCAATTGAAAACATCAAAAGAATGATTGCAGGTGCAATGAAAAGGCGTTCACTTTTACACAATTTGCCTGCTGAGATTGCGTTTGAGCAGTCAGCGAAAGGTGGTCAAAATGTTGGGCCAAAGCCAAACAAAGGTTAATACCAAATCAAATTATTTCGATTTGATTTGAAATAGTTTTGGACGACCCGAAAACAGCAGGCACGCCCAGCAACGACTATGAAACAATGGCAATAAAACATTTGGTAGCCCAAAATAAAATTGGAAATTAAATTGCCAATAAAGTTGCGGCCAAAAACGTAATTCATCGCTGCAGCAGTAAAACTGCAACAAGGGAAATAAGTACTTGAACGTGCGCTCGTGCGCTTTAATTACCAACAATGGCTTGATGCACTGCATCATATGCAGTCAATGAGGTGCAATAACAAGTCAATAGTCAATAATCACGGTTAATACTGAGATGTAGTACTTATTCGACTGTTGTATCTTGTGGCTGCTGTTGCATCAATTGTTTATTATTGTTGCGCATGTTGCTTGCAAATTTCCTTGGATGGGACTCGTCGTGAAACCTTACTGATGTAACTAGAGCGGCTCTGTGCGGTGGTACTATAACTTGGGGCGAACACTGCAGCAAATACAATAACTGGTTTCATTTGACGCAAATGATTATTATGGATTTGAATTATGATTACTTTAAGTGATCGCGTAACTTCATTAATTTGGCCCGAAAAAGGAAGGTAAATGCAGTGACGGTAACAAAGGTCTGTAAAGAATACTTTTTTTTAAAACAATTTTTATTTTTTTAGAATTCATTTGGGATTTTTTTTAATTCATTATATTTTATTTTGTTCTATTTGATTTTATTTCAAAATTTTAAATACCTGTTTATAAGCTTTATTTTTTTAGATTCTTCTTTTAATTTTTTTAAGTTTTATTTTCAAATTTTTTTAAATTTCTTTTTATATTTTTAATATTCTTTTTTACAAAAATATATTTTTTGTATTTTTTTTCATAATTTTTTTTTTATTCTTTTAAATATTTTTTTGACTTTTTTAGATTTTTTTTTAGATTTTTATTTAAGTAATTTTTATCGATTTTTATTTAAGATTTATTTTATATTGAAATACTCTTCAAATAAAGACCGTCGCCGGATGTTAAGTGTATAATAATAAAAAGTTTCTACTAATTACCTTTCCTAAAAAATAAAACAATCTTACCCCTTTTACAACATCTAAGGCAGAGCTCTTCAGATCAGAAAAGAACGCGGGCCAATACAAATTGCTGAATAGGTTGGAGGACCACAGAAATACATATATACTCTCATAATTTTTCCGGAGCAAAATAATAATACAACGATAATATTAAATTTAGTTTTATTAAATTTATATTAATTCATCTTTTACAATTCTATCAATATCAACATTATAAATATTAACTGTTGCAATACGAAATATATATAAAATATATTTTATCTTTAATGTAATGACTTGCGGTTCAGGATATAAGTTTTTCGAACCATTTGTACACTTTGTTAATTAAGCGGATTGTACTTTGGACAACCTCGATCTTAGCCATTTAAAACGTGAATCAATTTAAAATCATATAGCATTGTTTCTTGAAAATATCTGCATTGAAACTCTTTCAATACTGAGTATCTTCCCATAAAAGGGTATTGATCTTCTACTTCTACATTTAAATTGATTCTTATTTCAATTGATTTATATTATCTACATTTAAATATAAAAATACATAAAGAATATATTCGCGATATACGTTTCCACCTTACAATAAATGTCGTTTACTCATATCAACTCTGCGTTGTATTCTGCTATTTAGTGAATCACTTCTAATATCAGATAGATTTTCAACGACCATTTTAAGATGTTTAACGTCCATTTTAAGAAACAAAATTCTTAATATAAACTGTTGTTTTTAATAGAAAGGTTTTATCATAGCAACAACAAAATTTTTTTTCATTATTTTTAATTAATTAAATATTTGGCTGACTGAATAAGCTGTTCCTAGTAATATTTTAGTAAATATCCCTCATCAATGGTCTTGGAATTATTTATTAATTTTCAGAACTATTTTCTAATCTATATATCTATTCAATAAAATTTGATTAATTAAGAACCAAATCAAAGTAGAATAATTCGTAAAGATTTATTTTTTTAATTTTTTTAATATTTTTCTTTTTTATTATTACCGCCACTGCTTTTAACTTCCTGTCATTTTGTACATTTCCCTTTCAAAATAAAAATTTACTAAAATAAATACTTTTACGTTCAAATACCGTGATTTCATTGTTAAATCTTCACTGGACTATCTCCTTTCTAAGCTAGAGAGCTGCGCTGCTCCACTTTCCATCGCAGTGTAGCAATTGTGCAATTGTTACGAACGTTAAGCATCCCAAAGGCGCCGCTCACTCCCAGAAACGGTGCACTCCTCAGCTGTGCTTTTCTTTGGTTAAAAATAAAAATGATATAAATTGTTATGCAGTTCGTTGGAAAACGCATTCGATTCATTACACAATCAGAGTCAAGGTCTTTTACGTGGATTAAGTGAATTTATAAAGAAATTTTTAAAAGAATTAATTCCAGTCAAGAACATGACAGTGATGCAATGGGTGAGTGGATGAGGTAGCACAGTGAAATTGTAAAGACAATCGAGTATTGTGATGCATTTTATGCAATTTATATTAAAAGCTACGAAAATAATACGTAAAATTCTTTTAATTAATTAAAATTAAAAAAAAAAAAAACACGAAGAGAGAATTTAATTATAATTATCAGAAAAGGTGCTAAGTGCTAAGTGTTATTTAAGCTGATATGAAAACCTCATGTCTTTTAAAAAAGTTTGGTGATATAAATTCTTAAAACAGAAATATAAATATTAAAAAGATCATTCTGAAATTTGAATAATATCATATACCTCAATAAGAGTTTAATTAGTGATGCTTAACCAGAATTATTCCACAAAGTAAGAATATCTTATTTCTCAATAAGGTTTAGTTGATTGAACAATTTATTACCGGAAAGTGAGTCCTTCATATTCTTTTCATCGTATATAGTTATATACTGAAAACTAAAAACTAAAGAAAAGAAAAAAATGAACAGTCCTCTTGTCCTTTCAGTCGCATATTTCTATACCTGAAAAACCGAACATCATTTGCAAAATGACAAGACCCACTTTGATGGAAGACTATCAAAATAAGAAGAGTTAAAAAAAAATCAATTAATATAAAATCCATAAAGGCAAAATAATATTAAAGTTTGATAAAGTACTAAAGTGAACCAAATATCGAGCTAATCGCTCTTATTACTATATTTTTACTATATATATTAATTTACTATTTTATATTCAATACCATATATATTAAATTCATATTGAATTATATTTTAACTAATTCCCAGTTAATATAGATACGACAGTGATCTAACTAAGTTGGATCGATTACAACTCAACTGTGGATGACTACTAAGTGAATGCTTAATAAAGACTAGAAATTAATTAATTTAATTAATTTCGTGTTTTAAATCCAAAAACAAATCAGTTTTGAATGAAGGTTATGAACTTCTTCAATGAGACTTTTATAGATTGGTGACTTGAGGCAGCCACCAATAAAACAGTGGTGATGCGTCTTTCATTGTTTTTATAATTAAAACATTGATGAAGGAAGAAAAATGTTTAATATTTTACATGACTGCCGTCGGTAGTCAACCGATAACTTAATGTCTTATAAGAATCCAACAAGCTATCAAATACATGAGTAAATTTTATCAAACAATATTGTTATTTAGATTTCAACGTTGTCAAATATTACTCAATTGGCTGTAAAGTCCAAGATTTGAAATTTCAATTAGAATTTTCACATTATCACCACAGTCATCATTGCTCTTCTTAATTACCGTAAACACTCCTAGTCAAATGTGTGATATGTTAGCTTGAACTAACAGACTTATTAACTTATTAATAGTCCTGTGCTGTCCTAGTTTGCTATTGCAACTATTTCTAAGAACAACACTTTAGATACTATAGGTTTCAACGTAATTTTGCCCCTTCTAATATTAATAAAAAATTATTAGATATTATTTTAAATATATCATCTGAAATCACTTGAAGTCCTATAGGTTTTGGTGAAACATAGAAATAAACAGCATCAACGATATTAAACGATATTAAAATCTACACTGAACTTCTTACAGGACACTGTAGACTTAATTACATGAAGATTATAGGTGTGGTGACTCCTGTCGACTCTGTTATGAGGAGAAGGAAACATCAGAACATGTTCTATGCAACTGCCCAGCGGTGGCAAGACGTAGACTCGATTACGTTGAAAGCGGGATCTTAGTCCCAAGTCAAATAGGTAAAATCAAGCCCACAGCAATTACAAGATTTATGTTATAAATAGTCTGAAATTGTCCTAGTTGGGCCTTTAGGCGCACAATAGATCTCTTAGGTCGGGGTGCTATAATAGCCTATTACTTAAATAATAATAATAATAATAAGTATAAAATAATTACTTTTATGTTTCTAAAACAGAACTTCAATATCTGCAGTAAGTTTTAGTCTAAAGCAACTTAAAAAGTTTTTTTTTTTTATTAAGAAAAAAGTTAAAGACGTTTACGTTTCTTCCATTTCACTATAAAATGTAGTAAAATATATAAAATAAATAAAATAAAATAAAAAGTATTGGTAAAACACATTTTTATATTTATAATATTTAAAAACTTTTTATTTAAAATACTTCTGTTCCCCAACAATTCCTACTACTAAACACAACTAAAAGCTCTCAAAGTTGGTCAATTACTTTCATTCAAACAAAATTAACCTCTTTTTAATCTGCTAATTAGAAAAATAATTACTTTAAAAATATAAAATAGAATACCTAAAAGAAACCGCATTTAAGAGTTAATTTGCGTTGGTGTGCTTATAAAAATACTGGCAAAAAATTGTTATTTTTAAAATGAAAAAGTGATTACACATTTAAATACACATACGTTCACACGATAAGCGAAAAAAGTGCTACTTTTAATTTATTTTAACTCACAGACTGAAGCATTTCACATTTATTAATTAAAATTCAAACACCAGATGAGAAGAATACACACACTCACACACTAAACAGTAGGAAATTACATGTGTGTAATGTTAGAAAAAAAAGATAACTACATTTAGCTACATGCATATCTAAGCATACATACATACATAGAAAGAACAACAGCATAAGTGCACTAGTGTACTTTACTATGCATTAGTGTACACTAGTATGTACTTGTGTGCAGTAGTATGCACTTGTCTCTACTAGTGTACACTAGTATGTAGTAATGTGTACTGGTACTCTATATGTACAAGTGTGCATATGCGAAAGCAAACAAAATTTCATTTCACACCATTGAAAATCCATTAACGTAAAAACAAACTAAACTAAACTTAAGTAAATCTCAAACCGCATAAGCCTCAACTTAAATCAATCATGTTAGTGCTGCTAAGCCACATAAGCGACAGCATGACGTCATCAACATAATTCAGCATTAAGTGCTCGAGAGTAGAAATCAAAGTTCACATGCACTTCACCATGCACAAATACTCAACCAATATTTTGCATTTAACATTTGCACATTTGAACATTTTTCAATTTTCAATTTGCACTTTTTCCACTTTTTTGCACTTTTTTGCACTTTTTTAAACTTAGTTCTCCTCCAGCCTTTGTTTTTCTATCTTTTATCGAACACTTTTTTCTTCACTTCTTTCATATGCCATATATGCGAATAGCAAACACTACACTTTGTGGTAGCAACGGCAACATTGATGTCAATTGTCTATGGACCAGCAACAGTGCAGGCAGTAAAAACTTCATCTACATTAGCAATGACAGGAGCGGAAGTGCATGACAGTCAATCCCACAATAACAAGCCCGTATATGCTAATCGAGCACAACGACAACACCAGCAACAACGAAATTCTTATGGTAGCAGCAATCAAAATGATGTGTCTGGTGCTGCCTCCACAGCCGTGGAAATAAGTGCAATAGCAGCAAAAAGAAATTATGCCAGCGGCAATAACGACATCACTAGCGGCATTGGTAACAGCATCAGCAGCAGTAATAGTCATACCACGTATGGTCGCAGCTTAATGAAGGCGTTTAATGGTCTCACCAGTCTCTCGGGTCTTCAACACATTAGCAATGGTTATGGTACAGTCAATGATGATGCCGCTTTATCTGGTGTTGTTGGTAGCAAACAAGAGATACCAATTTATGAGGAGCAGCAAGAAAACGATTATGATGCCACTGCGAGCACATCCGGCGTAACAGGATACGCTGGTGAAAACAATCAACATACCAACAGCGGTGCTGGTGGTGCGTTTAGTAATACGATTTACAATTTGCATGCAGCTGATACAACGCACAATAGCTTCCTCCCAATGTTAGACTGGCATGGCAAGACGGCAGCAGCTTTGTCAACAGCAGCCACATCAGCCTCACCATATACTGTAGCCTATCCAGCCTCATCATCATCCTCGTCGGGAACTTTGCATCAACATCAGTATCCACAACAGCAGCACGAACAACAATCGAGCGATAAAATCTCCGATGGCAATTTTCTACAACATTACGAGCATAATTCCGGTTACAATGAACTTTCAGCAGCAACGACATTTGAACAACAACGCCATCATCAACAACACTCACACCAACAACAGCAACAATATTTTAGTCCAAGTGCCGATAGTTTTTCGCCACATTCTGCATTCTCGTATGGCAGCAGTGCAGCGGATGCGAGTGAGCAAAATTTTTATGAACATCAGCACTTACCACCACACTCCCTGCCATCCTCAGCAACGTCCTCGGCAACAGCTCATGGCGGCGATGGCTATGATGACGCCACTAATTATCTATCGACCTCACATGCCACAAATACAAACAGCCAACCAGACGTTATAAACTATGTACCCTACCCGGTTGTGAAGAAGCTGCATGTACCTGTACATCAGCCTGTTAAGATTCCTGTCTCGCATGCTGTCATTGTGCCAATCAGCAAACCTGTGCCAATACAAATTCCTGTCGCACAACAGGTACAAGTGCCAGTCGAGAAGGAATTAAAAATACCTGTCGAACGTGTTGTGCCAATTCCAGTGGAAAAGCATATACCAGTGCCGGTGGAGAAACGTGTACCCTATCCCGTAGTCAAATATGTGCCCATCAAAGTACCACGTCCTTTTCCAGTTAAGGTGCCTGTTTTCAAAACTGTGCTCCACAAGGTTAAAGGAAGTTGGTGGTAACAAGTAGCTCTCAAGCATATCCACCTCCTACTATCAATTCATTTATTACTCTATATATACAAGTATACACATATATACAAACTATTTTCTATTGTCGTTAAATGTACGTATGAATGCAGAAATTTGCATTAGAATTTTAATTAAAATTTATTGGATAATTTATTATTGCATACTATTGTATACAACATTGAATAAAATACTTAATTAAATAAATAAAAATAAAATTCATGTTTTTGCTTTTTGTAATTACAAGGAAATTAATTGCACTTATTAAGTAAGAGCATAAGGAAGGCATTAAAAAGTAGCACTTTTATTAAACTAATTAAATTAATTTATTATCTAAACGTAAATACAATATTTCGAAAAATAATTAACAGATGCGTGTTCCCATCTAAAAAAGCATCCATCGTTAATTTGTCACACTAACAACGACGAAGGAAGTAATAAACAGATATTGTAGAGAGGAAATATATAAAAACTATTATTAAATTGTGACTTTTATTTTTATGTGTTCATATGAATAAGTTGATTTTATTAAATGACATTTGTTTAAGAACACACCCATCCCAAGACCTCATATACTGTTCTCCATTAGACTGGACTCAGTATAATTTCAATAGAGAAGAAAATTTTATAAAGCTGCAAAGGCATTATTCCTTTTTTAATCTCAAAAATTAGCATGAGTTCACCAACTAATATAACCGTATCACTGGAATAGTTGGAATGGTGTAGACTACTAATAGTTCAAGCTTGAGTTTAAACGAAATTTTATACACTCTTCATTAAGTCTTAAGGAACTTTTATAAATTCTTTTCTTGTAGAAAACATACCATTCTATATGCATCTTAGACAATAAGCATAACTTTTCTTGCCACTTTCAATACCACATATATTCTATTAAAGTTGATATGGATAATATGCTCGATAAACACATGTTTTAACCAATAAAAACTGAAGAAAAGTGAATTGACCTCCCTTGATTGCCAGCACGAAATGGATCTTTGGCAATGAGCATAACTTTACTTTTCTTCAATGAGCCAGTTTTAGTACTAACATATATAAATATCAATTAAAGTTCATTATATCTCAAAAAAGCTCTTAACGCTCGAAAAATCTAAGAAACTGAATAAAACTTACTCATTTCCAGACCATATAGACATATCTATCATTTTTATATCAAATGATTCTCCATAGAAGTTTTTATAGTCTTTAAAATATCTTTTATATTTTATGGAAGTCTTAAACTAATTTAAATAATACCAGCAAATATCGTACATAAAAAATTTATCAATCCATCACTTAATAGAGGGTTTTAAATTTTAAATCACAGAACTGTTAAAGAAATCTTTGCGGCTGTGGAGTATCTTTGTAATAACTTAAAATTGTTATAATATTTATAGGAAATGGTTTACCACACTGAAAAATCCCATAAAGTCTTTTTAGTTAAGTGTAACCATTCAATTATCATGCATTTATCCCTGTTTTATAGAAATTATTTCAGTTCGTATTAGAGTCTAACCTAACACAATGTTCTACACCCGAACCAATTATTTCAGTGTGCGCTACACATCATTTGCTCTATGGATGGATGTTGTCAATTTAACAATGTTTGTTGTCAAAATAATTGATGATTGTTTGAATGAGAATTACATCGACCATTAAATGTAAGGAGAGTGTGGTAAGTTCCGAGTACTGAACCATTATTTTTAAACTAAATTTGGAAAATACACAAATATTGTCACTTCATGTAAATATCATAAACTATTATTACAGGAAACAGTGTTGCCAACTTGTAATTTAAATCCACAGAAAAACCTTCTCTATAGTTGATATTATACATGGTCAGGGGATTGACGTGTTCCCTACTACACACAGATATACTCGCCCTATAGTTGATATTATACAGTGTTAGGCAATTGAAGTATTACCAACTACACACAGATATACCTGTTAAATTGATATTGCCAACTACGTAAAGTTCATACGAATGACAGCTGTTTATATTGTTTGCAAGCTACCACAAGCATTTGGGTCTTAGTTTTATAAAACATAGGTGCTTTAAGGTTAATTTTTTCTTGCCGATAATGGTGTGTCTTTTTATGACGAAAGAAACTATTTAAAAGTTAGACGGATTCGAATAGCAAAGAAAGGACAAAGACAAAAATTTTAGGTGCTTTATATTTCGCTGGAAAATCGCAACCAGCTATTGTTCATGAGCTCAAACAGTTCATAGAAAATGGAATGCTTGTGTATCACATCAGATATCGTTATAGTAGTACAGGCAGTGTCGCCAAACGCCATTGTGGTGGACGAAAAAAAAACAGCAATATCACCTAAAATGGTCCAGAAATTGAAGGCTCGACTTTAACGAAATCCAAATCGTAATAATAAACAAATGGTCAAAGAACTAAAAATATGCCAGCCAAGGTAAAGCCTTACAAGTTCCAAAAGACATAAAATCTTAAAGTAAAGCAACAAATAGTTAGACTAGAAAGAGTACAGGACTACGCTTGCACGAACGTGGCAAATTCACATAGATTGTGTTCTCTGATGAGAAAAATATCTCTATTGTGCAGTTCATAAACTGTCAAAATGATCTTGTTTCCTTAGCTGTACCCACTGCCGAAAATTTGAGACAACGAATGGAGACCCGAAGTAATTTTTCATCTCCAGTAGTGGCATGGGTATATATATCTATATATCTCATACTGAAATGAATTTAATTTATATATATTTTTGAATGAACTAGTTAAATAAATAATTTAAATAATACACATTTCTAAATTAATTTTAAAAAGTATATTCTACTGTCGTCAATGTTAAATGACGATAGGCTCAAGGACTGTAGACTACAATATAGTCAAAATATTGATGATAGGAAAATATAATTGTAAGAAGTTATTTTAAAATGTATGCTGCTTGAGCAATTAACCAATTAGTCCATTTAAAAATATATAATATAAATGAAAATTGATCTTTATAATAATAAACTTAATTCTAAAAACGTTTTTTAATCTTATAAATGTTTGATGCGCCATTAAAGTCCATCATAAATTTAATAAATATTTATTCCATTTAGTTTTTAGTATAGAATTATTTTATTTATGCGGTATTTTTTATTTGTCCATTATACACTATTTGCTTAATAAAGCTATAAATTTTTGTTCATTATTATTTGTTTACTTTCCTATTAAGAATTTTCCGGTTTCAATTATATTCGTAATTTAAAAATTCAATATAGCATAATTCTTCCAGAAATTATTATTTATCACGTAATTTTGTTTATTTTAAACATTTTCTCTATGAAGTTCAAATATTTTCATATATATTATATTAAACAGAGCAACATTCAAATATGAAAAAGTGTGGAAGACATGGAAATAGGCAAGCGGTGAGGCCACAAAACCGCAGGATATTGCATACGATTGTCCTGCATTCATTTGAGTAAATTGAAAATGAAAATATTTGTTTTTGTTGCATATTTAAATTTGTTTATATTTCATATGCATATATGTAATTGTGCCAAAACCAAAGTAAATATATACTTTTATATAAATTTAAAAAACTACACGCGAATTTTGTGGAGCAAAGCGACACGAACTCACATGAAGCAAATTTCATGAAACAATGCAACAAAACACGCTTTGGCCATTGGTGACGTGCTGTTTAAATTATGACTCCAGCAAGGACATTAAAAGCACAGTGGGATATATTCACCAACCACATGAAGATTATAGGTGCGGTGGAAAGTGACTCCTGTCGACTCTGTCATGAGGAGAAGGAAATATCAGAACATATTCCAGCGGTGGCAAGACGTAGACTCGACTACTTTGGAAACGAGATCTTAGTCCCAAATCAAATAGGTAAAATTAAGCCTACAGCAATTACGAGATTTATGCATAGTCTAGAATTGTTTTAGTTAGACCTTTAGGCGCACAATAGATCTTTTAGGCCGAGGTGCATTCATAGGCTATTATTTAATAATACACCAACCATAAAAAATATGAATGTAAATATTTCAAGAAAATATAGGTACAATAATTATACTAAATATAAACGTTGTGGGCGTTTATATGTGATATATTTACAGAAGAAGTCAACACAAAGATATTTTCAAACATACGAACATGTATACTATGTAACCAGTTTATGTCAAATTTTGTTCTATATTTATCTTGTCATTTTTCTTATCACAATAGCCGCAATTTTTTCTTTCAGAGTAGCAAAAAGTGTACCTACGCTAGGAAGTGAGGTTAATAACGAAGCCTCTATTAAAGAAATACAGAGACTCCCCAACTTATCAGCGTACCTAATGACATGTATTCTGTCATAAACAAGGAGCACGCAGAGAAAGAATTACATGTTGCTTGCTATTAACAAATCCATTGATCCACAGTAACAAATAAATGTTGAAGAGATGATATGATTCGTATATCCTAATTTCTAATAAATAGACTCTGAGTATTAACGTGACACTATCATAATGATTGTTCCGAAAAAGCATTACTCTAACACATTCCTTTAGAAAGTTTGGGAATAATAAAAACAATAATAAGTTCTGCAGCAGATTTGAATACGTGAAATAGTTTAAGATATTTTCTATTTGGAATGCAAAAATTTAAAAAAGTTTGTATATTTTCGTTCACCTGATCTTGTAATTACCATATTAAAGTTAGATAAAAAGAAGAACAGAATATTTGAAACGTAGAATCGCAGTTTTTCCCTGACGGTCCCTTAAACTTAGAAGATGTTCTGTTTTTTTACTCTCCTTGTTGGAGAGCACGTTATAAAATCGGACGTGCTTAAAATAACTTAATCGCCTATGACCATTAACTAGTGCTGTCGTAGCTATTCTATCATATTTTACAGATTTCACCAAAATGAGATTGATAAGGTTGGCTTAGGTTTAAAAAATATGTGGTAATGCGAATTACAACATTTACTCTCAGACAGTAGATAAGTAATGTTCTTGAAATTGCCAAGAGTAAGCAAACTATAAG